TGGGACAAAGCCAGTTAAAGCACCTGCAAGTCCCCATCATGAACTGAAACGATCGACACAAACAGACAAATTAAAGCATTTTAAATGAATATTTTTTATAGGTTGCGTTCATGTGAAACCACATTATGAGTCAATAGTTTAAATTTGTGGTGGAGCAAGGCTGAAAAAATCATTCCTGGTAATTATGTCATATTTAGCTAATTTTCGTATTGCTAATGTCTTCATAATTCCTGCGCCAATCCACATTAAACAAAGAGTCACAAAGTTACACATCTTCTTTGTCAGTACATATCAACTCGTAAAGTTGTCCAGGCCAGACAATATACATATTTAAAAAACTACAAAAACATATGAAAAATGTTGGCCCGCAGAAAGGACTTTTAAACAAAAATAACAGGCAGGTATGTGAATCAAATCAGTACCATTATTTAAACATTTTGTCCAAACATTACTTCCAACAGACACCTGCCCTCCAAAAGAAATAGTAGTCTGACTCTAGAACAGGGATCTCCAACCTGTAGTTCGGGAGAATGATATACTTTTGAGACATTACATATCTATTATAAGTATAAATATAGGGTTATACAGTAGAAACATATATTTTCCATGTGTTATCCATATTTTGTCGTCATCAATTTTTGTTACGGCTGCAAAAAGCAGTAGCTCTCTGCCTCTTCTGTTGTATAAAAGTAGCTCTCCGATTGTATACAATTATAAGAAGAACCACATAACTTTATTCTACTAAGAATACAAGACAAACCTTTCTTAAATATTTCTCGAATTGAAATTTTAAAAGACATTTCATGAAGTTTTGGAAGGTTTTTATCTTTTAACCATTTCACGTGTTTTGACGATGCATTCATACACACACACAGGTCATACACAACTGAACCCAAAGCAAACCAGTTCCCAACAGCTTCAGATTCAGATATAAAAAGAGGATTTTGTCTGTCGTAGCAGGCCAACACGGCCCAAGGAAAGAGAGCCGCTGTGGGAATGAGTCAGGGCGGAGGTTTGGAAGACTTGTTCTCCTCTTTGCAAAGTATGGATTCATTTTGTTCTCCAATTTATTTCTCTTCTATTAGTCAACGATACAATCAGAGGTGCCGCGGGGAAGAACTTGGGGTAAAGACTGCTTTTGGATGGGTCCTAATCATAAGGACAAGACACAAAGAGGCATCAATGATTCGTAATAATAATAATAATGATAATAATTTGCAGTATCGGTGATTAGAATATTGATTTGATATTTGTTTGTTTGCCTGATGACACAACTTCATCCATGTTTCAGGGAGGAAAACAGCCACAGAAAATGGATGCATAATATTTGTTTTCAATTTAGGAAAAAAAGTGCGTGGGAGAGAAAATGTGTCAAAACATTTTTATTTGGTGAGAATTGATTGGAAGATTTTAAAACACACATTACATTTATTCTATTGTTTCACTGAATTTCTATCTAGTTTGAACATATTTTAAAGTGAAGGTCAGTAACTTTTCAAATTCTGAAGATCCCGCCCCCCCAGCTTCCTGATTGGATGTAAAGAATTCAAATCCTTGAAAGACAGCTGAGGCCTCTTTTCATTGGTCTAATTTTTCTCCTCCAGCAAATCTTTCTGATGGTGGTTATGCCAAAGGGAGGGACTGTTTCAGATTAAATATCTGTTATGAAAAATAGTTAATTTAGATGATACTAGAAGACCATATAGTAAAAAATGTATTATAGGCAGTTGCAGACATTAACTTTAAGAATCCACTCTGACATCTTTCTCAAATGTTCCAACCCTGGGACTATCCTTCACACATTATAGCAGCAAGACAGTCCAAGAGTAACAGCCATTATAAAACGGTAGAATAAAACATAATTGTTTCCCATAATCTGGTTTTGACTACAAGGCGATGGGATCAGAATAACAATATCTCTGTCCTGATTCTTCTGCCTGATCCCTATCTGCGCCTGTATGATTCTGACATTTTCAGATGTTATTACTCTGACTGGAGGATTTGTATCGTAAAGCCCCAGCGGTGGCGATGGCTGTGTTCTACAGAATGTGCTGCGTGTGCACAATCCCCTCTGCCCCCTCCATATGCACACACACAAACGCATGCACACACATAAACGCGCACACACACACAAATGCGGGCACACACACAAACGCGGGCACTCACACACACACACACACGCGCACTCTCACACGTACAAAGGAGCCATTCTTCAGTGTCACGGTGAGCGACGCCTGGCACATCCTTACACCTGAAGTTGATCAATGCCGATACGTCCAGGGGGAAATTGAAATCCATAGGAAATTAGGCGGTGCCAGTGATTTATTGGAATAGTAAATCAAGCCATGTGCTTGTGTGTGTACAGTATACTGAATAAGAAAGAGACAAGTAGACAAAATTATATTTGAATAACAGCATTTTCACTTCCAAACTTAATCAGTAAAGAAACTATTAAAACGATCTTTCCAGGCCAATTTGAAGGATATCTAATAAGTCACAATTCACCAATTAAAAACATACAGTAAAGTCTATTAAAAGCACAGCAAACTTTGTGAATGATATATTTTACAAACTAAGAGCTGAGTCGCTGAGTGAGTGGATCCTGGTGCAGCGTTCTTCACTGAAAAAGCAGAAAAACATGCAAACAAAAGGGTTTTGTTTATTTATTTGACAGGGACAATGTAGTTATACAAAACTACAGCAGGAAAGATGCAACTGATGCGACACAGTGTATAGCTAATGCTGATTTTCAACTCCTGTCCCTGGTTTAGCTTTTCCCTCAACAGATTAAACAGAATGAATAAAATGGACAGCCCTAAAACACATATTTACAACGAAAGGAACAATGAATTTTACTACACAGTAATTTTTTGTGATGAAATTAGGTACTACACCTTTAATCAATCATTGTATAAAGTTAATATGTAAGAAATACACTTTTTACGACCAATAATACATTTTATTGGAATTTAATATGAGAGACACCCAAAGCGGGAGGATGGAACAGTGGATATAAATGGTCTTTAGAATCTGGCAGAACGTGTCTATTCTCTCCATGCTCTTGGCCCAAACAGGGTGTCTGGACCCCTCTGGTGCACCCCCTCTGTGGTGACGGGACAGGGGCGATGACCCAAGCCCCCACACACAAAGCTCCCTGGGGGTCCCACCCCAGTGAAAAGAGGAGAGCACAGTCTGTACAAATGTCAGGTCCATTTCTGAGCAATTGTTTGATACCACGTTGAATCAAAAGACGCTGTTGTGCTCAATAAACAACCACCAAAAGGAGAGACTAAAAGGAGGACGAGTTGTCATCTGAAATCTGGTCCTGATTAGTTTAGACAACGACTATTTTTGCTCTGTTTTATGTTTTTGTCTTATTTTACGTGTTATAGGTGCAGCATTATATTCACAGCGGTGATTGAAAACTGAGGAAATTGTCATCCAGGACCAGGGTTTTAGTGTTGATCAGTATTAACCAGATTTGTTTCAATTCTGATAAACTACAGCATATACTGGACAATGACAATGGCATTTTAAAAAGGCAGTATTCTGAAAACACACCAGAAGCAATAATTTGAATTGTTTGTTATAGAAATTCTCAATATAATCAAAATGTCTTCACTCCAGTATCTAGACCTCACATAATTGTTCCCAAAGCCATTAGCCACATAAAGTGATGCAATATTGGTGTGATCTTCTGTTGGAATAAAAACAATCTGCCTTTTATCTCAACGTTTAAAAGGCACAAATCCATTATTTAATTGGCTAAAGGCTACACTGATTACTGATTTAAAACGGTAAGACTGGTATGGCTACAGTCTGTTCCATAGAGAAATGAAAACCTATTTGTCATTGGGTCTGCAGCATTTGTATGGCTTATAGAGAAGGTTGCATTCATGCGTGAATGAGCAAATAAATCCAGCAGGTTTTTCTTTGGCCACAGAATCACTTCCCATCACATGCTCCCACACCCTCTCACTGCACTTCTTCTCCTCCCAGGTACACCACCGCTTGTGTTGAAGCGCAGTTTTGTCCATCTTTAATTGCTTTTTTTTGCAAAGAAGAGAAGACAACAACAAGCTGTGGCTCGGCTGCGGCTAATGGAGAGGTTGTAATAGTGAATAGGGGCATTCATCTGGAGACGTCAGTGAATCGGCACACAATACCCTCGCGCTGGGCTGCTCAGATCACCAACAACCACCCAACGCACAAAAATACACATAGGAAGCATAGCCACCAGGAGAGTCTAGGGAGGAACCTAATCATACCTCCACAGAGAGCAGACTCCAGACATGGTGATATAGGTGGTCTGGAAATGGTTGGGAAGAATAACAAAGTCCTAGTTAAAGCTGGGGGACCTAACTTTCAGCACACAAAAACGCACCTTTGTAAAACATTTTAGCTTATCTATAGTTTTCACATTATTTTTTGGCCTCTGTCCCATCCATACATTAGCTTTTTCAAACAGAAAAGCGAAAATGTATGCAATATGTTCTAAAAAGATGAAGCATTGTTGTGGTGTGTTTTTTACCCCAAAACATAAGGTACAAAAAAGTTAGGTGACTCAGCTTTAACTTTTGTTCTCTACAACATTTTCCCAGCAAATATATCCCGATACCTGCTTCTCTGGATTGAAAATGCACTTTGTAAATGCAGCGTCCACCCACACTCTCTTAGACAGACAGGTGGACAGCTACAGAACATATATCTTATAACTTGTCACATCTTCAAAAACACAAGACTGTTTCAAAAACCTCCTACCTGCTTAACAGTAGTCCTCTATAAACAATTAAATAGACACCAAGGCAAAAACACACAAACCATCACATTCACAAGAAAAGGAGACACCACAGAAGTGACAGTATATGGCTCTAATCTCAGCGAGGCGAGACCAGGCACCTGTCAGCTCCTGCCATACTATACCCAAACATCAGGGAACAACAACTCAATTAAACACACCATCCCTGTTCAATTACTGCCACATAATCACAGCAATTTACCTTCCCTCTTGGTGCAGACACCAAACAAACACGCACGGGGGCAGGCACACAAAAGACTGCAGCGAGAGCCAGAGCTGGGGCCGCTTCATCCTACACATTAAGTGAGTAACGTTGTGCGAGTGGCGAGCGTGAAGGCGAGCTGGCATCATTTACATGTGGAGGATGTTGGCTGAATGTGAGTTGAGTGGACGGCAGGTTTACTAAAGTTCCACCAGCAATTACTTTTTACAAACATGTCCACGTTCACAGGAGATGTCAGAAATGCAGGATGTATACTGCCACAATCGAAATGCGATATGTGTCTGGCCACAGCCAAATACAACTGTTTTTAACTAAGGCTATCCAGAGGCCTGTAGAGCGTTTCACATGATATTATATTTAACAACAGTAAAAATAACAACTTTAAAAGATTTCCTTTTGAAAAAGCGTATCGTGCATATGAAGTGATACACAATTCAAAGACATTTCAGAAAATAAGTGAGTAAATAATATTTATTTATATAGCATAAAGAAAGTCGTTTTTATTTGCTCCACTCAGAGCGATGACATCACCGTACATTTATTCCTATTGTACATGTTTTTACTGATAGGGGAAACCGGAGCACCTGGAGGAAATCTATAGACAGATAAGGAGAACAAGCAAACTCTAGAGAAAGGCTCCGTCTGGAGGGGGAATTGAACCCAGGACATTCTTGCTGTGAAGCACAAGTGCTAACCACTGTGCTCTAAAAATAGTAAAAACTATAATAGGAATAAAAAAATCACTGTAAAATATGTAAAATATAAATAAATGCTTGAACTCATTTTTTTTTATCTTGCATCAAATTTTTTTATTTCCAGACCTGTGCTGTTCTTGTATGAATAATGTATGATGAGAAAATAATGCTTCTGCCTGACGACAAGACCGAACATACACAAATAGAGATAAATGTTCCAAAATGTAAGTAATTTTTTTTACTTTAGTCCCGTTGTTGTTTGTAAATAACGTCAATAATTAAAATCTTTGCGACAGTGTAATAAAATCTATTTGATTTGCTCACAATATTTTCACAAGACTCTTTCTGACAAACAACATGCATTATTTATGAAAGTGTAATTTAGGTACCCCAGCTTTAAATGCATTGCTTCTAAAGCTTGATTCACGTCAATACAGAGTAGTAATAAAATGATTCAAATCTGGAGCCCTAATCTGCTGATGCAAGATGGTGCAACACAAACAAGGGCTGTGTGTCGGCCGTGCTCTTTCCACTCTGATAAACGAGAACCACAACATCAACATCAGCAAACACACAATATGCTTTCTTCAAATAACATTAACAAAAATATATATACTATGTTATAGAACTTAAACCTTGTAACAAAAATTAAAAACATATTACAACATACTGCCAACTAAAACACAATGGAGTGCCCTTTTTCTCTTTTTCACCACTTCTCATTAGTTTATTGTGATTATAAGTGGTAACAATCTCTGCAGTGAGGAAAATACTTTGAGATACTGCTGCAAATGAATCGCCTTTTGGTATCAACGTTTTCAGAATCTGAGTCTGAATCTGAAAATGAAATTCAAAAACCCAGCTATAGTAAGGTTTGTTGATTGGTTTTGACAAATATTCACAAATAAAGTAAAATATATAAAAAAAAAATGCCAGGTGTCAAAATATATAATTTGTGTTTTATGCATCTTTTTAAGTCTCTTCATTTATGTAGAAACATGAATAACTCTTGACATGAACATTTCCACCTGTGACTAAAGCCTGTGTGTGTGTTTGAGTGTGTGCCCAGCAGACTGAGTAACAGCGTGAACTTGGGCCTGATCCAGGAGCTCGGGGAGGATACATGGATGGATGGAGAGAGGAGCGGAGAGGAGGAGGAGGCCATTGATTTCTCAACAGAGAGATCAGCATCTTGACACCGAGAGAGCAGCAGACTATAACACACACACACACACACACACACACAGGACTCATACTGCGGCCCTCAGGTCACTCCTCCATCACTTTCAATGACTCAAAGCTCGATCTGAAAGGCTGTCTTTGCGTGCCATCAAAATCACTGTTGCATGAAAAACCATAGTTAAACCCACTTTTATTTTAAAAGGTGAAAATACGACTGGAGGATTGAACAGGTTACTTTCATGTTGTACAATTCTATTTAATTTTGGAGGGCAGGTGCCATTTATAAAGGGAAAACATAAAAAAATGTTGGAATGTTTTCCTATTTGATGGTGATTGAATGTATGTGGCCTCTGAGAACTCCAGGTGGCACTTCACCCACATAGCCTAAAATGAGTTTGGTGTGTGCGTGAAGAGTTGATGATGAGGGTCGGAGGGGCCGATGGCACTGCCAGTGTGCCTCAGGGCAGCTATGGTTACAGTTGTACTTTATCACCGCAGTGTATGGCGTGAATAATGACTTGTGAAGTACCTTTATAAAACTGATACACTGAAACCGTGTTGCTAGACAGGTTTGTAGACTAAAACACTAAAAACTTCTTCAACACCTTTCCAACTTGTTAAGACCTCACAGACCAGCAAGTGCCCCACTGACAAGGATCAACAGGAGAGTCTGGTTAAGCATCTATTACCCAGCATGCCCTGGTGTGTTTAACAGTGCCAAATCCCCCGACAGGGACTCTGCGCAGGCTATGACTCTGTGCTGCTGAGCCTAACAAGGTGTGGGCATGTGTGGAGGTGGTGGTCATCAGGAGGGCTGACACCCACAGAGGGGCAGGAGCAGAGGGCAGGGTGAGCTAAGGGTCACGCTGTAATTACACATCACCGTCCCAGTGGTCAGTGGCTCAGTCGACTGCTCTACACAAACAAGAGGCAGGCAGGAAGAAGTTTGGGTCACCAGGCAACATGATAAATGACAACTTTTAACCATTGTTGTAGTTGTAGTTCAGGTTATTTATACACGGCTATTTAGAAATGATTTTTGAATTATTCCCCAGAAGCCATGCTCCCCCCATGAATTTTCTGACCCTAGACTGTATGTAGCAATGGAAGTGCTCCAACTCACTCTGGTTCCTATTCACATATATGGAAAAGTAAACTCTTCTCGCTCAGAAACCATTTGAGTCCCACTCATCATTTTGGACAAACAAATCTGTAATTAAGCATTGTATGATCCTGATATTTCATTTTTATATTGTCCACCAATTTGGCCCCAACTAGAAAGTAATGCAAGCATGAGCATGCTGGTTGGCTCTATGGTTGCTAGCTTGTTGGCTCGAGATTTACTCTCAAGGAGCCTACTGGAGTTAGCTCCATAGACTGTATAGTTGGACAACGCAAACCTGTAAGCTCAATGGTTTTGTTACAACTTTTTCCATGAGCACTTCTCTATGGACTTACATCGAAAAATGAACTCCTCTAGCACAGTTATTGATTGTGTCATATTTTAGCGCTCTCTGAATTCCTGGGGTTTGTATTGTGATATTGTCTTCACAGCCTTCAGTCGCTGACATCACTCCTGATTGGCATCACTCAGCCGTTGCCAAATTACCATATTCCTGCTCAAATACCTTGTTTGCTACAGGTGATGTCAGTTTACCTCCCCGTCCTACGGTCTACGGTCTGCGGTCTGCCCGCACCACCGGGACCTGCACACTGTTTTACTGAAATGTGGATGGATGGATGGATATAATAATTTGGTGTCAAAGATTATTTTTACACAGCAGAAAGAAGTGCGTAATACAACATAAAAATATTTACCAAAAAGATCCTTGGAATCTACAGCAGACTTACAGTAACCTTTCAATATCTATTTCAACCTGTGAAACCAGTACACACAAGACACATAGAAATGTTTTCCATTTAATTAACTTTTATATAATTTACTTCAGCTCCTGGTGGGCATTGTTCAGAAACATATTTCTGAAGTAGGTTATATGTCCTCAACCACCACAGTTTCCTTCTACTCACCTTAGTTTGCATGAGCTCAAATGGCCGCACAGTTTTGAACCATGGAAAGACAGTGTGGGAGGAAAGAGTCTGAATCTCTTCTTGTGTCTTGTGCACATCTCCATGGTCAGCCACCTGGAAGTAGACAAAAAAGACAAAAGATGCTTTTAGCCAAAAAATGACAATACGTTTTCTATGACTGTCAGCATGGCGCTCAAGAAATTATGTCAAACTGACTTTTCCAGCATTTTCCAGTTTTAAAAACTTACAGCAAAAGCCTGGATTGTTGTATCTCACTAAAACCTGAGCAGTGTATCTTTGTCCATATTGTATCTGTAACTGTAACACTCACACAGGTCGCCAGTGTCCATATGTGTCTGTGGGAAAGGTTAGGGAACACTGTGCTGACCACTGAACAAACATAGCCGCCTCCAGCTGAGAGTCACATTGATTTGTTGTTGGTAAACAAACAACTGGACGCCACAGGTGGATCGATACAGCTCCCAGCCTCCCAGCATGCCGTTCTGATGGGCTACCATAGATCTGAGAGCAACTATGGCTCTTCTGTCACACACTTCACAAGTCAAAGAAATATACTGGTTTCTATTGAGAAATATCATGGCATCACATGACCATTCTGAAGACGAGTGTGCAACCTATGCAAAAAGACTGGTCCTCTGCACACAGTCTTTCACATGTGTGTCTTCATCAAACGATATTGTTACCGCACCACATGGAAAATTAATGTTTTTTTCCATGTTACATCAATAATTATTTGTCCCAGTACTTATAAATCATACTCTTGTACGTACATAAGATATTGATTTTCTTACAGTTTTTATTTGCGGCCGTAGAAAACGATTTCATCAAAGATTTCATTCAGATGTATTTTTAATGATGGCCATACACCTATGTAGACATTTCTCCTTCAAGTTAATCAGAAAGCAGAAGGAGGGAATGGGTTGCCAGTTTCAAAGTTGGATGATATTTTAGCCATCACTAAACACCAGGAGACAATTGTAACAGTTTAGTGCAAGTTACATACTATTTAGACTCAATGCCACATTACTGAGAACCATAAGTTTAATTTCAGACAGTGAGGGGAGGAAAATGCATATGTCTATTTACACCATGTACAAGAAAGTCTCACACATGTTTTAGCACATGGAAAAAAAAAAACATTT